AGATGCTCTAATTTGTTAATTGCAGCAAATGAGAGAGAGAGAGAGAGAGAGAGAGAGAGATTTATATGAATCTGAGCCCTCTGTGGCATCGAGTGGTGTGGGAGTGAACCATTGTGGAATGGTCCCCAAATTCACAGATTTCCATGCCACCTTACACCTCAGGGGTTCTTGCAAAGCATCAGTTGGGTTGAAGCATTGCCCCGAGCCACCATAGCATTAGTTTTCATTTAATGTGTTGTGTGAACCTTATCAATCCACAGATAGGCAAATCATGGCTTAATATGAACTGTCAACCCAGTCATCTGCTGATGCTTGCATAAACCAGCATTCCAAACCAATGCTATTTCTAATCCAAGCAGACGCTGCTTTGAATATAGTCCTCTTGGAGGGCCATCACCATCCAGATTGTTAGCCCATGCTAACAATCTCTTTACCTGCTCATCTCAGACCTTTTCATTTGTACTCTTGGCAGTGACAACAAGGCTATGAGTGTAACCATCAGAAAGGAAGCAGTTGTCGAGAACTATCATGGGGTAACAAATAGTTACCTTTGGGCCATTCAGTGTCAAGTTCACTTATTCATTAAACTTGTAGGGAAACATTTGGCAAGTCACCACAGCTGGTTCAGACATAAGACGAAGCAATAATGGGATTTGCTTCCTTGTGGCTTGCAGTGAGGTGCAAACCCATCCGTTATGCCTTGTAATAATGTGAGAACCAGCTTGCTATGGCTGAAGTTACACTTCATGCTAAGGTAGCCTTCCCCCACTTGGCGCCGTCTGGGTGTGTGGAACAACTCCCAGAAATCTCTCGTGAGCATGACCATCAGGGAATCCCAGGAGTTGGTCCACACATCTGAATGGCACCCTGGGAGGGAATCCTCTAATAAGGCATGCTTTGTTTTAGTAAAGTTACAGTGGCCTCATTCTCACTTCAGGATAAGCCATATATCATAGCTGATAAGCCACAAATTATTATTTATAAGACAAAACCCAACAAGATGCAGACAGCACTGTGAGATCAATGGCCAAATGGGAAATTGGACCTGGGTCTCCTGAGTTCTAATTCAACTACCAAATCTCTATACCACTTCCATGTAATGGTCCATATTCCCTTGTAATTTAGTGCCAGGGCTCCCCATGAATTCAGTGATGTCCAGACTGCAGCCCACTTGTTTTTATTCCCATATAGAGTGTAGACCCAGGTACTCTTTTTTAATCAAATCCCCAAACCCAACCTATAGGCAGAAGATTTGTTGCGCCGCGAAAAGAACTTAGAGGAAGCGAAGAAGATTATCATTAAGAAAGACCTCAGCCTCCCGGAGCCCAAATGCGTGAGTAAAATCCTCAGGAAAACAAAGTGACATTGTGAACTTGCAGCTTGCTGGGGAAAATGGGGCGGGGGGTGGGAATTACCTTGACTGCTCAGTGGCAAAGGGGTAGGGAACATGGTTTCTGCAGGCCCTAGTCTGCCTCCATGTTCTTCCCTATCCCACCAGATTTTCTTAAATACTTCTAATTAACACCAGGCAACCCTGTGACCCATTGGGTCATCCTTTGAGAGGAAGGTAGTACAGTCTGATGTGACCAGAATGAACATTAAATTTTAGGCTGACTGTATTTTTTTTTACCCCAATGCTGGATGGTCCTGTGATCATCTAAGAAGAATATATATCATAAATATAAAAATAATTCTAGTGGCAAATGAACTTCAGTAATAAGTCAATATTTACTTACCTAAACAGAGAAACAGAGTGACCATGGGTGGGCAAAAAAGCAGTGGGAGCGGGAGCGACTTCCGACTTCCTGCTGGCTTCCCCATTGACTTTGCTTGTGGGAAGCTGGCAGGGAACGTCAGAAATCACGATCAGATGACTGTGGGGACACTGCAGCAGCCACAACTTTGCAAATAAAAGTGGTCTGAACATTGTGGAAGTTTCAATTCCACAGGAGTAACAGGTCCTGGATTTTTAATGTATTCTTTAAGTTAGTGGATTTTAGGTACCTTGATTCAAAAATTGTTGTGGTATAATGCACTGTGTGAGCTAACTTGAGGGTACAAACAGGCAAACAGATAAACATAATGAGAGTTTTAGTAATATATAGATAATTGACTAGGAAGTGGGGATACTGCCTAGCCAAGTGCTAGCCTCTGGCATCATTCATGTTTGCAAAATTTCTTCTGGGTCACATTATGGTGGGAAAGAACATTTGGGAGGACTAGCTTTGTCTTTTAAATGGGAGTTTTGTGGTTGGCTGTGTCCCAATGGCAGCCCTTTGATATATTGGTGCATCTTCTGTGGCACCCATTTTATGAGGGTGTATTTACAATATGCACCCAAAATTCCAGATCTACCCTGGCCCCAGACAGTTGCCTACTCCTAATTTTTCCAATGGGAGGGAGAGACAGAAGAGCTGTGCAGTTCTGTATTGACTTTAGATAACCACGGTCAAGTTTTCCCCAACTGATTCCAACAAATGTTTTGGGATTGCAAGTTCTAGAATTTTTAGCCAGGTAGTGGGATGTTGGAAGAATTTTGCAAAAAACTATGAATATGAAACAGCCTCTGCTTTCTTGGCAGTCTCCAGATGTCTGGGATGGTTGGCAGTGTTAAGATTTGCATCAGATCGAGGAAGGCTCTTCTAGTATACAGTATCTCTAGCTCTATAGCCCTTTCTAAAGCGAAAAACCCAGCTATATTGAAAGTAACCTCAAGAGGAATGTACAGGTAGTCCTTGCTTAACGACCACATTAGGGACTGGAAAATTGGTCATTACTCAAATCCTCACATGACCAGACCCGATTTTTCGACCATTTTTACAACCAGACCCGATTTTACAACCATTTTTACGACCAAGTGACTCACATGGTCATTAAGCAAATCCAGCTTCCCCAATGGATGTTTTTTGCTGGAATTCACTCAAGGACCGTGTGGTTCACTTAATGATGGTCGTAAAAATGGTCTCAAATCACAATCACGTGACCATGGGGGTGGTGTGATAGTTTGCAATGGTCATAAGTCCGAGTACAGGTCGTAAAACACCTTTTCTGAAGCTGTCGTAACTTCGAACTGTCATTAAATGGTCATTAACTGAGGACTACCTGTAGTGCACTTTCAGACCAGAGTGCCCACAGGGAGGATATTTAGAAAGTCAATTGCAATTGAAGCTCCATCCCTTTTAAATACAGCCACCATCTTGTCTCTTTTTTAAGTCTTCCCCTTCTGGATGCCCCTGTTTACAAATCCTGAGCTCATGTCGGCAGTTACTCAGTGCAGATTAAAATCTACACTGTGTTTATGCCCTCGAAATAACAGGATCTTCCCCTGACGGCATGGCTGGATGACCTAGGAGGGATCTTGTGCAGTTTTACTCAGAAAACTGTAATTGGGGGGCTCTGTCAAATTCCTGCTGTGGCATCTTTGCTGCATCACCTTGGCTGGGTGCCTTCATAGAAGCTGCCAAAATGACCTTGCAGAGATTCAGGAAATCCATTTGTTAGCTTAGCCATTTTTTCTCTCTAGCTGGAGCAAAAACATAAAACGGGGAGGGGGGACCTTTTTTGAGGAAGGCAAGGGCTGCAGTAGGAAGGGTGAAAGTGGAGCAGAAGCATAATTTCCTTGAGATTCAGACGTGTCTCTGTGCTTTTAAAATATGCTAAGCCTATTTACTGGTTAGTTTTATATTCCACCTTACTCAAGCTCAAGGTGGCCTACTTGGCTGTTTCCCTTCATTTTATCCATACAACAGCATTGTCAGGGGAGCTGCCTATCTTCAAATGGTGGGAAACAATAACAGTCTTTTTATCATGCAGGAGTTATGATATAAAAGGCTGCATGGACTTTCAGTTTCCCCATCCTTCAGTATCTAAAGTCCTTCCTTCTACGTTAACAGTATGAAAACTTTATGGCCCGGAATGGCAATGCTTTTACTTATCACTAGGAAGTCAGTAGAAGAGACTGTTTAACCAACTCAGGTCATGGATCTATGTCAGAACAGTCTCTACTGGTCAGCCTTGTGAGTTAGTCCAGACGAAAAGCACGCCCAGATGAGCTAATTCTACTTTATTGTAAGGTTACGCTAATGGAATCTTGCAAGTTTGAAAGTACATTTCCCCCCTGTCGCCTTTACAGCCCAAGAAGCTAGGGAGGGTCCCTTCTGAGATGTTTGCCATGCCCACATTTCTACTGTGGGCTAAGCTACCTCTTATCTAACCATTCCCCTGGCTGCGGCTCTTCCCTCTGTCTCCCATGGTCATTCCCACATATCGTTACACTACACTGCATTACATTACTTGGTAATGGTTCTTTTTGTAGATCAGTAACTCCTTACAGTCACCTACCACCTAGATACCAAGTGTGAGAAACACAAAGCAAGATGTGCTGGATTTAAACAGCAGAATGGATAAGAAGGAACTGTGCTGTCTTGCTGACCAATGGAAATTGCCTGCTTAAGTGGCTTCATCCTACTATGCAATAAGGCAATGGAGTGTCTGGGCAGTTTTGGAGTCTGACTCTCCAGATGTGCTGAACCACAACACCTAGCAACCCTCTCCACTGGTCATGTGATCTGAGATGGGGGGGAAAAAAGAACATTTCCAGCCCTAATTTTTCCCTGGAAAAAGTCAAATGTCATTAGTGATATGAACGGATGCTAGTTTTATATAGTTATAATATAATGATGCTTTGATAGTATCCACATTGATTGATTTCTTTTCCCAGTGATTCTCTATACAATGTGAGAGCAATGTTTATGTGTATCAGATGTTCCTATTGTATTGTAGAAATTCCCTGATGCAAATTAGATGGATTTGCCCAGGAAAGCCCACATCTCTAATGATAAAGAAGACTTCTGAGCATATAACTGTTATTATGTCTGCCTGTGTAATTAGCCTGTGTAATTAATGAGAGAAATCAGCTGATTCCTGCTTAGGACAGTAGCATTTGAAGCATCAGCATCATAAGCTTTGAACAAGATGTTGAATAAACTCTGGCTAGTCAGAGCACAAGACACATTTCTTCAGGATTCTTAATTGGCAGCCGATCTCTTTATATATTAAATTACTTATCTTTTTACAGGTGAAGATTCGTGCCCTGGAGGCCCACAGAGGGGAGAGAGTAAAGGTGTTTGGTTGGGTCCATAGATTGCGTAGGCAAGGTGAGTACCATCTGGTGCCGTGGAAGGGTTCTTCCAGAAGATTTGGGTGCTTGGACACTTGCAAGGGTCACTGATTCCCAACTAGGAAAGTAAAGTTTGTTTGCCCCATCTGCATCAGTTCTCTTGTGTTGTGATAGAATATAAACTGGAGATGAATTGATGAGGGTAAATTGTCTGTGTTCAGCCATATGGTGCCAAACCTGCCAGCTCAGCCATAAGCATTTACAGGTAGTCCTCACTTACCAACCACTTGTTCAGCGACTGTTTGAAGTTACAATGGCACTGAAAAAGGAAACTTATGACCAGTCCTTGAAGTTGCAACTGTTGCAGTGTCCCCACAGTCACATCATCTTGATTTGGGCACTTGGCAACTAGCATGCATTTACAAGGGACGCAGGATCCTGTGGTCATGTGATCACCATTTGCAACTTTCACAGCTGGCTTCCAACAAGCAACGCCAATGGAGAAGCTGGCAGTAAGTTGCAGTCACATGACATCACACTTAACAATCACAGCCAGAACTGACGTAAGTTGGCGCAGTCACATGACATTTCACTTAATAACCATGCCACTTAGTGGTCAGTAAATGAGGACTACCTGCATAATAGTGTTTCTCAACCTTGGCAACTTTAAGATGTGTGGACTTCAACTCCCAGAATTCCCC